GTACCTCCTTAGAGACTGGGGGTGGGTTACACTGACTATGTGTATCTCTCTCCACATGGGCTAGTTGTTTTAGGATTCCATTATAGCCAACAAAGAAAGAGACACTGCTAAAGTCATCACATGGAGTAGACACCTAAAAAGACATCTACGTGCTTTTTGTTCTTAAAGTGATCGTTTCTCTGCCGAGGGACGTCTGTGGTGAGACTACCTGCATTTAGGTAGCACACTTTCCATTTCTGGACACGTTCTCACCTGGCAGGGACAGTTCTTGTCATTGCTCCTGACTCACACTTTGGGCTGGTGAAGTTTCACCCCATTTCTGTGTCTTTTACCTTCAGGGTCTTTGAACTCTCCTGCTGTGGTGCACAGCAACAGCAGTATCTCTTAAGTCAGGACTGGCTCCACAGCTATGAGATCAACTGTCACACAGAGCAGTTTACGGGACAAGCTCCTGCCCAAACTCTATTTCAGGAGAGCTGTTTATAATAGCTTTCCTTTCAGATGTGTTATTAAGAAGCTTTCTTCTGGAGCAATTGGTTCTTTTCCAGGGTACAGTAGTTATTCTGGTATGCAACTGCTTAAACTGGAAAATGGCTTCTCTACAGGAATGGCATGTGATGAACAATGTTTATTCCTGTAAACTGGGAGCAGCTTTGGGATGAGGAGGAAATCAGACATGACAAGGAACCACCAGTGGGAACGGGCTGTGGGCCCATGTTCCAGTGTAACGCTGGGATGTGTCCCTATGAAATACTTTTGAATGGTATGAGGTATGGACTCAGCTCAGGGTCACCCCTTCCTCCACTTGGTCCTAACCTGTGGATTTCATGAAGAGCTGTTTTCAGGGAGTATACATATCATTCCCATTACTGTATTGCAATTCAAGTCCAAACCCAGTTTGCCAACTTCCAGAATTCTCAGAAGACTTAGATGTCTGAGGAACCTAAATTAAGCTTGCAGTTTTACCTTAAGTTTTTCCAAACTCAGATGCCATCAACAACCCTTTGCTGTGTAGACTACCCCAGGTCCCTGGAGGAATTTCTCCATTTCTCTAACTCAAGGTGCAGGACTAAGCACACCCAGATATGAAATGACATCTGGCTATGTAAATCTGGAGAATGAAGGCAGGATGTTGAGATCATTGCACTCAACCCTCCAGCTAGAATGGTTTAGAAAGCATCTAAACTTCCTACGCACTCACTTCCTACCCTGCCTTGCTAGGCAAGCTGTAATTTTTATATTTAATGAAATCCTCTGAACATGTCACTGTATTGCTCTGTTGAGTAGATCATGGGAAGGGGATGGTCAGAGATATCTTCCAAAGGGATATTGCACAAGGATGAATCCCATCATGCTTTGACCCAGTGACCTCTCTTGGCATAACGGCTTTCGCACCAGGTGACCCAGCCACCAAGTGCAATGAGTGACTCATTACAGACTGGTGTGATTCACGCTTTTCTCCTTATTGGATTGCACCATCCATCCTGGGATAGGTGAATCAGTTTGGCTTGGATAAGATATGGAACCCATCTGTCCAGGTTTATCTATTTGGCTGCTTGAGAAGAAGTCTGGCAGCTTTGTTAAACTTGGTTTTTAATGGGAAAAGTTATGTTGCTGGAGGCTCGTAAACTCCTCCTGTAGAAGCCAAGGAGTTTATGAGCCTGAGTTTGTTTTGTTTCACAAGAGCTGTTAGGAAAACAGCTGAAGGGGAGCAGCCAAGGATCAGTTCTTCCTTGAAGGTTTCACCTGTGTCTTTCCGCTGGAGTGGAGGGACAAGGGAGGGAGCCAAGTGGCAAGGCTGAAACACAAACAGCAAACTTGGAACCTGGGTGTTAGTTTTGGAACTTGTCTAGAAATAACAGCCTGAGCACAGTGAGGTTCTTGTGGCACGTTGCACGGTTCTGCAGGAGAGAAAGGAAAGGAGCAAAAAGTGAAAAATGTTACAGACAAGTGCTCTGTTGGACCAGGGTCAGAGGGTATGGGTTCAAATCTTGGTTTATTCTAGGTACTGCCATATTTGTTGGCCGCAGAAGATACTGGAAGAAAAGGTAGAGATCTATGGAAGGAGCACAACAGACCAATGTCTCTGACTTCTCTGCTGAGCTGACCTTCCTTTCCAATCTGAGTTTCTTCTGTGTAATCATGAGTTTCCGTAAATTAAAGTATTACATTGCCCCCCTCAAAGCCTTGCTTTTTTGGGACTGTACGGACTGAGAACTGTAGTTCACTCTGGACACTGTTGACACCTGATGTCTGAATTATGCCATGGTTGACAATAAAAGGCCCTTGTTTGAGCTTCAATACCTTTGGCATGATCACCAGGAGGTGAGGCATGGGTTCTTGGGACAAGAGTTTTGGAAATGTCCTTTCTTTGAGCCTTTGTGCTGTGAAAGAGCATCTTTGAATGTCCATGCAACACTGAGGGCATGGACGCCTTGCTGTGTCCACCCAGCACTAAGAGAGTCCAAAAGATCTGAGGGCCCACCTTGTTAATTTTACTTGGTTTTATTTTCCTTGTTTGCTTCTACTGACCCGTGCACTTACACCACGAGGATGGGTATACCAGTACTCTGTGCACCAGTTACTGCAGGACATGGGCTTGTTTGGAAACCTGTTGCTGCTGATGCACACCTTTAATTGTTTTATGCTTAGATCATGTGTCCTTGGAGTCCAGCTGCATGGTGTGACCAGGCAATCCCTGCCTCAGCACAGAGAAGCTCCAGCACTGGGGGCTTTCAGCCCTCACCCACACTTTGATTAGTTATTGTTTCTGAAAAAAATCTTCCGCTTCTTCTAGTGTTGCTTCACTGTCCCTTCCCCAGGCTCCTTCCTAGATAATAATATGGCTGTCTCTTGGGAAAGCAATTGCATAAGTCTCTATTGCTCATTTTAAGTCACTGGATCTTGGGCTGCAGTGATTCACCCTCACAACGCCCCAAGAAGGGAATCCGGTGTCACTCTCTCCAATTTACTGATGGAGAAGCTGAGGTGTGGAAAGGTGAAGGATTTGCTCAGGGTCAGGCAGTGAGTCAGTCACAAAGCCGGTATCGGAGCACCCACCCCACCCTGGCTCCTTGGGTTTGTGTCTGTCTAGACTTCTCCAAGCACCAGCTTTGATGCTGGTGTTACCACCATCTTCCACCATCAACCTGGGAGCCTAGACATCTCCCCTCCCTTCACCAGCTGAGAGGAAATGTCTGTATCCTCAGCTCGTAGCCAGAGGTGCTCGGATGGTGCAGACAGGAAAAATATACCTACCTGGAGAACATTACACCTCTCCATGCCTCTTGCTCTTCACCTGTCTCTGTCTGGTCTCATGGCCCTTTCCTCACCAGGAGGGGAAGAACAGGATCCAAGAACCCAGTCTAAATAAGTCTGAATAAAACTACACCACATAACACAGCGTTTGCACGCTGGTTGTTCAGCAACTGGCAAAACAGCCCACAGACCTTAGCTGAGGAACTGCCAAATGGGATAAAACCAGCACACAGCTTCACTTCTACCTGTGAGGTGAAAAGGATGGAGTAGACTATAAAGGAAAGGTGAGTGCAAGAGGAGGAGGAGGCTGTGGATCCTGTGCTGTTTGGGTGATGCACAGCAAGAGGCTGAGGGGAGAGGTATGGAAATAAGATGAAAGATCGGTGTCCTGAGTGCTGGTTTGCACCGGCTGCAGCAAGCACACATGGGGCTGATGGAGTGCTTGCTGTAGTTAAGAAGACCCCACTGATGATGGCTACAGCAGTCTGGATTTGAGCATAAAGAAATGAGGAAAGCTTCCTGTTCCTGTAATTATGTTTGGACCTGAGTGTTTCCCTGCATTTGATTCCTCACACATTATTGCTTTCTTAACGATATTCCTGACTCTGCTTCTTGGGCTGGCTGCAGTTTCTGTGTGAAATAAAGGTTCATTCACTGCTGCACTAAAAACCCCTGCCTTTTCAACAGGAGAATTGATGGTTAAATAAGGGGAAGAAGAAAAGCCAGCCGTCTGTGGCTTTGCAGAGGAGGCAGGGGAACAAATCCAGGAAAGGGGTCTCCTTCAGTGCTCCAGATTCTGCTCTGCTGCTCTGTGTCAATCCCTGGTGAGTCAAGGAGCCCAGGGAATTTTTACTGCTCACTTAACAGAAACCAGATGCCACCAGTGGCATGCATCCTGCTAGCAGCCCTTACCCCAGATGGTACTGACTGGGACAGCTTTCGTTCAGGCCCTCCCATAGAATTGTCCCAGGGTGACATGGGACATTACTGAGGATGAAAAGGCAGCAAGGGTTGGTTGCTGTGAGGCTCAGTGAGCCTGTGGGCTCCTTGTCAAGGTCCTGTGACTGGGACTGGCTCTGCACTGGGGATCCCTCATGGCTTTTCTTCACAGCTTTCACAGGGACTGGGCTGCAAATGCTCTCTCAAAGCCCTGGGAGACGGAGATAATCTGTCAACACACAAGAGTTTGGATCCAGAGGCAGATTTTCATAGCGGGAGATCTGGTCTGGCTTACTGGTACCAGTTTCAACTGGGCAATTCCTGGAGTCAGGAGGTACCTTGGTGTCAGCTGGCAGGACAAGTATGCAGGATCAAACCCTCTTGCGCCACTACTGCAAAAGCCCCTGCAGCCCCTGAACCAGCACTAGAGTGCTCTTCACTTTGATGTCCTGCAGCAGCTTAGGAGAGAAAGCATGCCAAAAGCAGGGCACTGTGCTCACACAAGTGGGCTAAGGCACTGCTCAGTCTACGCATTTGGCTTTTATCACTCCAGCTGAAGTGGAGAGGAAGAGATGTGGCCCCATGTGTTAGGTGCCCAGCGATGAAAACGGCAGGGGTTTGAGCAGGACCTCTCTGCCACTTTTAATTTGTCCTTCCTTTGAAACTCCTTCACCTTTTGCTCACCTATGCGAGCAACAAAGCGGAAAACCACCCGCTCTGCCTCATGTTGAAAAGGAGGGGGGGATAAAACAAAGTTAGGTTTGAAGAGAGGGTGGAGGGGGTGTGGTTACCCAGGAGGTGTGTCAGGCACCACTCAACTTACTTATAAGCAAAGGCAGCTGTACCAGGCAGGAAACCTTGCTGAGGCTTCACCAGCTGCGGCCTTTTCTCTGACACTGCTTGACCGGCACCTCTGCTGCGATGGGGAGGCAGAAGGACATCCTTTCTACCATTGAGGAGCGCCTCAGGATCAGAAACAAGCTAGTGCGGCAAGCGCTGGCTGAGTGCCTGGGGACCCTGATCCTGGTGGTGAGTCTGTGCGATGCTCTCTGACTCTGGGTGTAAGGGGAAGTTGTCCCTATGAAGGGGATACGGTGCTGCCAGTCTGCACTTAGGGATGACCCCAGCTCCAGTGCAACCTGTTGTGACAGAGCTACAGGAGAAATCCCTGCCTGTCAGAGAATTATCCGTGCAAGTTGCTTCAGGGTGAACTTTGGGGTTGCTGGCAAAGGGTGGGTTCTGCAGAGCTTGTTGAGTGTGTGGGGGCTTTTGTGTATCTGTGAAGTGCAGGGAGAAAAAAGCCTCTGTGTAAGCAGCAAGTGGTTTGTGAGAGAGTATGCAAAACTTCCTTTCTGTCTGCCCTGGAATAACTTCTTGGCAATGGAATACTGCAAGTGTTATCACCCAGGGAAGTGGAAGCTTTTTCCTCACCACGCTTTGTTTTTCTTGTGCATCCTATGGAGAAGAAGTAGCCAGAATTTAAACTGCTGCAGTGTTTTTTGCTGCGGGTTCCTCAGGGTCTTATCAGCAGGGCTGCATGACACCACAGCAGCCTGTGCTGGCAGCTGATGGGGACCTTGTGCTCACCATGTATGTGACAGTGCCAAAGCTGCTAGTCGATGTGTTCTTAGGTGGTGAATGGTAGCAAAACTCTCCTGCCTGTTTTAGTGCTTGGCTTCCAAAGGAAGGGGATATAAGGGATAGAGGAGGGTAGGTAAATGTATAAGTGCCTTAGTCTATGGATGTTCTGAGCTGCCCTGGGTTGCTTTGAAGTCAAAAGCAGATGTGAACAGCTGGGACAGTCATGTGTGAGGAGTGGGGGGGGAGAATACCCATGTAGTTGACAAGGATATCTAGTTTTGGGCATCCGTATCAAAAAGTGCAGGACTGCCCAATGGGCCACAAGTTTTGTGCGTTGTTGTTGCAGCAGGAATGAGTTGGTGTACCAACAGTGAATACCTGCAGGCAAAAGTTCCTCTGAAGTGGTGTAAATCCAGACCAATCCTAAAGGTTTCAGTAGAGTGAGTGTGGTTTTAGACCTCTTTGTTAATGGATGGCAGGTCTGTCTGGGGAGAAATCTAATGGTTGGAGGAGCTGAAAGCCAAGGCAGGCTGGATGAAGCTACATGGGTGCTTGGGCAAGAACGAAGACAGGCTGACATATGCTTTCATTATTGTTTTGGTGAGGAAGTGGGCTATTGACTCTTCTGGGGGAGGACAGGGAACTCTGTGAAAACCCTGTGAAATGTCACCATTCTTAAGAGAGCAGCTTCACACCGTGCAATGGCTTTATTGTCAGAGTGACCCAGCTTTGGTGATATGCAAACAATTCCTGTTGATATTTCAGAGAAGGGTTATTTGAAATTGAGGTAGGTAGAATATGATAGGAAAGTGGTTAAGAGGTAGAAAGTTCTGTCTGTGAATCACTGATGTTGCTGCAGTTAGTCTCAGGACTGAAGTAGGGTAGGACTTGTAAGGTGAAATAATGTCTCCTGCTAGCCAAGTTAATACTGCTGAGAAACAATGGAACTCTTTAGCCATGTGTATCTGAGCTTCTGGAAGAGCTCATGATCCAGAAATTCTCCTCACAGTATTAGCTGGCACAACAGAGACTACTTTTCCCTACAGCCTTGACGCTCCAAGGCAGAGAGGAGTTGCAATGTGCTCTGAGCCTGAGGAAGAGTTTGGTCCAAAATCATAAGGAGCTTCCAAAATGAGGGTGGTAATGGGCACCCATCAGCCAGGCTGGATGCTGCACTGGCAAAAATGAGCAGCACGTGCCTTGTCCTCGGGGGCACCACGCCTGATATACTTTAAAGTGTGTGTACAAGCAGATTCCTTGTTCAGGAATTCCTGAGTGTTCCCAGGCAATGAGTATGTTGGATTTAGTGACACACTCAATTCTGTTTTGTAGGTCTTGTAAAAGTCACCTAGGATCTCCTGCAGCAGTTCTGCAGTGAATGGAGGGCTGTGAGCACTCTGTCCATGTGGGAGAAGATGGGGTGGGCTGCTGGGAGAAATGGGAAAGTCCCAAACATGGTGAATGCTCCTGGGCTGTCAGTCAAAAATGGGGTATGCAGAGAGGGAAGTGGGTTCCAGGACAGCAAGCCTGAAATATCTGAGGAAAGATCTGGGATCCATAAAACCATCTTCAAGGGAGACAGAGTTGATGGATCACAACTATATCTAGAATGGATTTAATGTTTGATATTGTTCACACTGAAATCAACTTCCTGAGCACCGGGGGAGGGAAGCTGTTGAAAGTTTAGAGCTTACTTTAAATTTCACTGTGTAATGTAAAACTTGTCCCACCGTGGATATTGGCACGGCTTCAGCTTCTTCCCTCCTTCCTCTCACTTGTGTAACCACCACAGTGCGCTCAAACTTTTCTACAGCAAAGCCATTTCGAACCCCTGCAAAGTCTCTTTCCCAGCAAGAATTAACCTAGGACTCTTTAATTTTCTAAGGAGGTTGTAAAGTTAGAGAACGTTAACACAGAACAGTGCTCTTTTTCTAAGATAAGATAAGAAAAATAATCCGATTGAGGCAGCCAAGCTCTGAGCAGCACGAAGGCGAGGTGCTCTCTCCTTGCAAGCTGCTTTGTCTCTGTGCACCACCTTGCACAATGTGGTTTTAGTCTATGGGCAGCGTCCTTACTGTTAACTAAAATAGTAATGCTGATTCTACCTTTCCTTTGACAATTAGGATGACTATTTCCAGTGTTCAGAATTCATGTTCTAAGTGGCTGGAAGCACTGCTTGCTGGCTGTAGTTAAGCAATGCAAATGCTGAAGGCATTTTCTAAGTCGCTTGCTGTTTGTGTTATTACTGTAGCAACTCACTAAAGCCAGATTTCCAGTAGCATGTCTCTGTGCCTCTTTTAAAGGCTTGATCTGTTAGCCTTGCTCTGCTGGCTATAAATACCAAAGCGCTCTCTGTTCGGTTTTTGCATCTGCAGGACAAGTAATTGCTGTTTGTAATTGATTTCCAAGTCGGACTAAATGATTCACTGCTGTTGAGGCAACAAAGAAAGAGCAAAACAATTCCTAATTGCTTTCCAATCAGGACTGCCTTGATTTTGTAGCCGGGTGGGAGCTGTTTGGGGTATGAGTGTGCTGCAGACCACAGAAACCAGAATAGCAAAGTGGCTGGGATGATCAAGGCTAAGGGAGCCTCATTTAACTGTTGGCAATGCAGAGCTTGACGTTGCCGCTCATCCTGCAGCCATCCAGAGAGGCACAGCAGTTCCCACAGCCACTGTTCAGTTTGTGCAGACTTTCCTGCTTGTGGCATTCAGAGAATGTGATTTTTATTGTATTTTTAATTTTTAAAACATATTTTCTCTGTTAATGCTTTTCGAGGCTTTAAAAGGGGCTGGAAAGCTTTGCTGTCAGCACTGATGATTCATCCCTGCAAAGGATCTGTAGTGCAGCGTTGTAAGCAGGAGATACTATGTGTGGCACAACTTTCTTCAGACACTCTTATCTCTTGAGTCCTGCAGCCCTGCCTGGCTCTGGGACAGCGTGTGGTGCAGAAGGAGCCATAACGTGACAGACCATCTGCTGCTGCCCTTCCCTATAAGACTGCTTCTGTCCAAGCTGGCTTCAGCCATACTGGGCAGAAACATGGACTGTGGAGGTCTAATGATTTTCCTTGCATTGCAAATTGTAAATGATGACCACTCTGGTTGCTGGAGTGGTGCTCTGGGGAAAGGCAAAAATGACAGTGCTCCTTGCACTGTCTTTATGGCTGGTCATCCCAGTCACAGGGGCCGTGGAGCAGAGGAAGCTCTCTGCATGCTGCTTGAGCAGAAACATTAATGGCAATGGATGTGTCTTCAGACCTAGCCAGACCTGGGTTCTGCTCCTTGGGGAGAGCAGCAAGAGGGCATAAGGAGACTTACAGTGTTTTTAAACCCCTCTTGCTTTGGGTTACATAGGAGGACTTGGGAGGTTGTTTTGAAGTCACTGTGAAGTGATAGCTCTCTGTTCCTTCCCTCTCAGCCTCCCCTTGAAGGGACTGTAGGGTAGTCCTAAGTTTCACCCTGATATGAAGAGTGGTGCTCCCTTGTGTGTCTGATGCTTAAAGTCTTCCGTCAATATCTTGGGGTCTCTCCCTTCAAGGGTCTGCAACCTTCAGAGCAGACTCAGGGTTTGACTGCCCTTCTGGCATCTTCCCCACTAACTAGGGGGCAACAAGCGCCTTTGCAATTCACCAATGTGATTAGGGCAGATTTACAGCAGGTTTCTTGCCTAATCTGTGCTTTATTTGCTGACTGAAGAGGAAAGTTGTAATTCAGGTAATAGCACTCCTCCTGGGCTACTCCAGCAAAACTTTTCCAGCTTGATTCACAGATCAGTTTGTCTGAAGTCTGAGAGCAAACGCATCCAGACCTTTTGTGTTGCACCCAAAGGTCTGAAAAAGCATTGGCAAAGAAAAGAGAATGCAAGAAAGAGAAGAAACCTGGCTGAGCATTTTATTCCTCTTCAGCTGCTTTCTGCAAGGTCTGCCTATAAGTTCAGATGACGCTTCTTCTTCATTAGCTTTTTTGATTTCTTTGTCCTTCGAGGTATTTTCCTGACTGCCTCTGGGTCTTTCTCGTGTCCAGTCTTTGATTCAGGGTGTTTTTACCTTGGTGACAACTCCAAATGGCCATTCTCCAAACATGCCCTGGACAAAGGGAGTTTAAAGCTTCCCAGAGTATGAAGTTTCACCTAGCGACCTGCTACTTCTTCCTGGTTTTGCTGCTTCTGGCTGCCCCCTCCCTTGTTCTGGGGGGTATTGCTCCCCTCTGGTGTTTGTCAGCCCCTTCACCTTGAACCAGTTCAGCTCATGGATCGTGCAGAACATGGATTTTGTTTTCTGTAGTATGAGGAGTTGAATCAGCTCTTGAGGAGTGAGAAGCTTTCCTGTTGGTAGGGAAGGCATTAGATGTGCTAGAGCCAGTAAGATGAAATTAGGGAGCAAGCTTCCATTAACCTGGTTAATGGATGCATTGACCTCAATTCCTATGAGAGTAGTTTTAATACATCAGAGTGTTTTGTTGCAGTCATTTTCTTAGCACTTTAAAAGTGCTTTTGAACTTGGCTAGTGTACCACAGGAGTATAACAGGTGACTGCCATGAGAAGTACTAACCTGTGTTTCTGTTGGGGATGTTCTTCCAGTAATGTGTTTGGTCTTTTATTTCATTTTCCTTATACCAGTGTTGGAGGCAGACTATTAAAATCAAGAGAATGAGAAAACTGAGCAAATGAGTCACCTCCCCTTGGGTGTGCACCACTGTCCCTGACCATAGTGGTATAATATTGCCTAGGACTTTTCCATCCGTTGCGTACACTTAAAAGCCACTGGCATGAACACTGAACTGCTTTTATATGGCCTTCCTTGCTTTAACACTCAAGCAGCTCCTAAACACTTCTCTGTAAGCACTGGTGAAGGAGAACTTAAGAAAAGGATGTTGAGGGTCTCCTGTCCCTCTCTGCTGAGGGAAAAAGAACTGAAAAGAAAACTAACAAATAACAGAATTGGAAATAGTGTGGTTAAACACTGGAATAACCACTACCACGAAAAAACTTTGTAATGCCAAGCCACTTGTCACAAAAGCAGGGGTGAGCATGATTTGTAATGGTTCTTAAAAGTCAGATACCATGGGTGGATGTCATACATTAGAATGTACGTTCATGCTGAGTGGACGTCACTGGTGTAGAGATGGAATTGCAGACATACATGTCAAGGTTCAAACCTGTTCCTAAATATCACCTTACACTTTTTATCTGCTGAGGGTCAAGTTTTCTACTGTTACACTGAATTAAGCCAAATAGTGCTCTGGGCTCATCTGATAAATAATTGTAATGCTCCTGTGGAGCAGCTCCGGGGTGTTTTTGCACGGCCCATAGACTCTCTTCTGCAGAAAAGCTGGAGAGCTATTGCCGAGTGCGGAATGGGGGGAGAGGAGGATGTGGAATAACCTCTCAAGAAATGGCAGAGCTGGCATTCCTCCAGGTTAAGGGAAGACCTTTGTGGGTGAACAGGGAAGTGGAGGGGGGGAAAAACTTTACTCTGTGGTTTCTGCAACCAAAAGGTATGTGGCTAATGAGCCAACCACCATCCACTTGCAGAACTGCCAGTTCTTTTAGGGTGAATAACACAAATACCTTCATCACTAGGAAGAACCTGGGGTCAACCCTGTTGAACTCTGATGTCCACTGCAGCTTTTTGTGGACCCACGCTCCTCCATGGTCAGGCTGATGAGTTGTGTGGCCTTAAAGAGGCAAACACCATGGCCCAGTACTCTCTCAAAACCTGTCTAAAGCATGCTGGGGCCCATCTGTAGTAAGAGAAGGAATGGATGTCATTGGCCAGTATTTATTTGATCAGTTGGAGCTGTTATGCTTCCTTTGGTGGTTGGGTATAGCTGGGAATGATGACTCTATTTGCTGCACAACAAGACTCATCTTTTCTGCCTTTGAGGTGTCTCCTCTGCCATGGTTTCCCAGCTGGGCAGCTCAGGATTAGGACACTGAAGGGCCTGTTTTGACTGCACCCTTTATAAAGCAGTGCTGGCCATTCTTCTCATTAACTAACAAGTCCTACAGGTTCCTTTGTCCTTTCCATGTCAGGTCCTGTGCTGGGGACCTGGCCTCCTGTCAAGAGGCACCTGTGTACAGTGTCCACCTTGTGAGTCAACCAGCAGCCTACCTGGCTGCTCCTTTCCCTGTAGGCTGTGTGCAGTGTTTGCTTTGTTACTAATTCATCTGTTGTCAAGGGAAGGGGAGGGGAATAGTTAGGTATACTTTGGCTTTGTCCCTGATATGGGTTGTGTGTTACTCAGTGGTTATGTTCAGTATTGGCAGGAGAGGTCAAGACAGCTACCCCTGCTGCCTTCGTGCTTCTTCGGTGGCTTGTTCCCTAAGAACAGATACTGCCTCTATGGCAACGGAGTAATTCTGTGATGATGGAGTTCACAGGAGCAGAAAGTCTTGTGAGTGTATAGGTATAGTTATGCGGTTAGAAGATTTAAGTTAAGCCTTGACCCTAGTTTTGAGGATCTCTGGAAAAAGCTGTAACTCCTGTTCCAGTTCAGGGATGCTCTCAGTACCTGCTTATGTGATAATCCCTGATGAACACCAAGAATCAGTTCAGGCGGAGTCACTGGAAGACACAAGCATACAGATTTTAGGATTAGGGCTCCTTAAATTACCAGATGGGTTTTGGTAAGACTTGACAAGGCAGAAGGCCTCCAGCTGGATGAGTGATGAACTGAGCTGCCAGGGAAAACTGGTTTGGATTCTTAAGATTCTAGTTTGGATTGAATCATAGGAAGATAGTGTTTGGATGTGGTTGGGAAGACAAGGTTCACCTGTTTGGAGCAAATGCCTTTCAGCAAGAGCACATGCCTCCATTAGCTACTATAACACCCTTTATCACCCAAAAGAAGCAGCTTTTGTTCCCCAGAGTGCTTGGTACACACCTGCACTTGAACGGAAGGCCAAGCCTTGTGCTGGTGGTGGTCTGTCTGGAAAATGGACTTTTCTTGATGGTGTCTGTGCCTTGTTGGTGCTGCTCAGACAGGTCAGCTGTGTTGCCTTGGTCATCTGTAAAATGACTTTGCCATAGGAAGGATATGGGTGGTGTGGAATGTGCTCATAGGGATGCTGTTGGCTGTGCTCAGAGTGGCCACAGCAGTGTACCTTGGGGCTGGGGCAAATGTGAGCACCTCAGCTCTAGGAGGCAGCTCCAGTCCCTCACTGTCAGCCAGTGCCACCTGAAAGAAGACTCCATGAATATCAGGCTGAATATGTCCTTCCATCCTGTCTGTATTTCCAGGCATCAGCAAAATTATCCCCTACCAATCTACATGTCAAACAATTGTTAGCCTTTTTTAACAATAAGGTACCCAGACCCCTCATCTGGACAGTTGCACTGTAAATATCTCTGTCCAGGATACTCTCTGGCTCATTCTTCTCGCCTACTATCTTAAAATTAGATGATTGGACAAAGACCTCCAGTTTCGTTGTCCAATCTTGCTTTTGGCTTTTGCCCTGGTTTTGATTCCCCCTGACAGGAGATAGGCTTGTCTTGTGTTCTTTCTCCTTCCCTGCTGTCCCTAGAAATAACACCTACATACTCTGACCAAAGATTGAAGCTTTGAAGGCTTTGAGTCATGCGTGGGCTGTGACGGTGCTTGCAGGTCTAAGTGGAGCTTTTGCGGGCATTGGTTAGCAACTTGTCCTGATGTGAAACGGAGACGATAATTTCAACCCCTTTTTCTCTCCTAGCTGTTTGGCTGTGGCTCCGTGGCACAGACGTTCCTCAGCAGAGGGTCTCATGGAGGCTTCCTGACTGTCAACCTGGCCTTTGGCTTTGCTGTAACGCTTGGCATTCTGATCGCAGGGCAGGTATCAGGTACGTTGTGTTCCATGTGTGCTGGATTTCACTTGTGACAATTGTTGTGTAGACCTAGATGGCTGTACCTTTCCTATTTGGCACTGGTATGGAAAACAGTGTCCCTTGGCTCATCCCTGGGACCCAAATTCTGCCTGTAAAAGTACACTAATGACCAATCTCCCTGCAGGTGGGCACCTGAACCCAGCTGTCACCTTTGCCATGTGCTTCTTGGCCCGGGAGCCCTGGATCAAGCTACCAATTTATGCCTTAGCTCAAACCCTGGGGGCTTTCCTTGGAGCTGGCATAGTCTTTGGGCTCTACCATGGTAAGTGAAGAAACCTTGTGTGTTTACTGGAGTGAGACTATTGTTCTTCATGACTCAGTGCAAAGAGGCTTGTTTGCAGAGCAGAGAGGTGTTTTCCTGCAGAGCAGAGATAGGACAAACCTCCTTAACATGTTTTTGGGGGTTGAGGGGTGGGCTGGGGTGTGTTACTGTTCTCATGATACTGGGTTCAAGCCTCCTCCAATTAATCTGGAGGCCAACCAGCATTGTCAATATGCAAGTCTTTGTCCTTGGGTAACAATCAATGGGCTTTTGGATGGCCCTTTTTGTATCTAGTGTATGCACTAGACCAGATCTTTCAGAAAAGCCAATTAAACATTAACAGTGATGGATATTTTATATCTATGCACCTTGGAAAGCATAGTAGAAATCCAGTTCCTCATGCATCTGTTCCTTCTGACTGATGTTCCTGAGAAAACTGCCACCCAGGCGATAGCAACAAGTGGTTTTCACCTTGGAAACCTAGGTTAGTTAGCCATCTTCCATGTAATGATAGGCAAGGAGCTGACTGCTCTACAAGACAACCCCAAGAGGTGAAACTAATCGTGTATTGGTTTAAAAGAAGCTGCATAATCAGCCCCAATTCTTATTTGCTGCAGATCATACTCACATCAATACCTCATGTCTTGGTACCAAGACTCATAGTACAGGCATTTTGAGTAATTGGAGTAATTTTAGTATTTACTTTTTGGCTCTAACTCTTGTTTGGTGTATGACAAACAAGAAATATTAGCATCAGGGACTTGGGCCACCTGCACCTGAGCCTGACTGGTAAAATGCTGTGGTGAATCACACCCTAAATTTTCCAAATGAGTGTTTGCCCTACAGCAAATGATTTTGCAACACAGAACACTTGGGGAATTCTATCTCAGTATTCATGGCTCTGTGGAGCCTACACTGTAGTGTCTTCCAAGCAGGGTCCTGTCTCTGAGTGGTGTTGGAAAATGACTGACCTATCTTTCTTCCCATCCCTCTCAGATGCCATCTGGGATTTCGACAAGACTGAACTGACTGTAGGAGTGAATGGCACAGCTGGAATCTTTGCTACCTACCCATCTCCGCATCTGAACCTTGTGAATGGATTCTTTGACCAGGTAAGAGGGAGCTGGGAGGATGCAGGTACATTGGAAGAGAGATCTTTTGGGTTGGTTATGGGCCTCTCCTTTAGTTGGAGAATGCATTGCAATTTAAAGAGAGGATATCCAGAAAGGTTTTTAGAGCAGGCACATGTATCTCACTAGCTCACAGGAAGAGCAATGCCAGAAAGGACCCTTGCAGCCAGAAGGCAAGTGGTATTACACTGGTCAGGATACCAGTGAAAAGGATATCACTTGCTCCCAGGCTCTGAAGAGCCATGGTATGAGAAAGAATGGTTCTTTTTCTCTCCCACTATACTGTTGTGGCTGTTGCACAGCCCATAGGTCAGCTGGGTGTGGAGTGATGGTTGGTACTGGAGATGACTCTCTCCTCCTTAAAGTTGCCATCCATCACAAAGAGACAGCAGCCTCGCAGCCATGGCAGGTTCAAAGCAGGTTCAAGAAGAGGGTGCTCAAACAGTTATTCATAGCTCTTCCATGGGTAGGGAAAAAGGTGTGGGCTTGATGGAGCCTGTGGGTTGCCAGGAGAGCATGTTTCCCTCTCCCATTCCCATAGGTGCTCAATTTACTGTGGTCTGATAATGCCATGGAATGACTTAGTGAAGATATTACAATTTAGAGAGTAAGTCCTAAATGAATGGACTTCAGAGCAGTTAAATAACTTGATTAAAATACTAATGTGGAATGAATTCATCTTTTTCTTTCCTGCCCTCCTCAGTTCATTGGCACTGCCGCCCTGATCGTTTGTGTCTTGGCTATTGTCGATCCCTACAACAACCCTGTCCCCACTGGGCTGGAGGCTTTCACAGTTGGCTTTGTTGTCCTCGTTATTGGAACCTCCATGGGCTTCAACTCTGGCTATGCTGTCAACCCTGCCAGGGACTTTGGGCCTCGTCTCTTCACAGCCATTGCTGGCTGGGGCACTAAAGTGTTTTGGTAAGTGCTTGGCCAGTAAAAACCTTGTGCAGCAAGGGGTCCATATAGGTGGTAGCTCTGGCAAAATAAAGGGTCTCAGCACTCATGAGGTATCTTTGGTTCATATAAAATCTTTAAAAAAGCAATTGCTCCTCTCCAACTACTTAAGAAATTGCAGAAGCTGGGCAGTTTCCAGTGGTGAGAGTAAATGACCCAACTTTGTTATCAAGGAAGAAATCTAAGAGCATCCATGAGAAGTTCAGGTACACCTTGAACATAAGCCTATCATTATTCTGTGCTTCTTATACTTGGATTTTATTGTTGCTGGGACAGCTGAGAGCAAAACAGCGTTTTATTAAAGGCTGTTTTTCCTGCAAGCAGTGGGAGGGAAATGAATGTGCATAGTTCAGGCACTGCAAATGCTTCTCCTTCTTTGAGAGACAGTATTAAAAGTCCTGGAAGTAGCTGTTCTGAATAGCTTGTCACCTTGAGAAGCAGAGGGGACAATATCTGCCTTGGAAATTGCCATGCACGTGTATTAGTGTTGTCTTTTGCAAGTCAATGGTGATGTTTAGAGATGATCAGATCTTTCATTGTTCCAGTCCCAAACATAAATATCCTAAGGTTAGGCTCTTACTTTATTCACTTTTTCTTGTTTTCCAGGACTGGTCATCAGTGGTGGTGGGTTCCAATTGTTGCTCCTTTCCTTGGGGCTATTGCAGGAGTGACTGTCTACCAGCTGATGATTGGATGTCATGATGAGCCTTCTCCACCTGCCTGTGAGCAGGAAACAGTCAAGCTGTCTAATGTAAAGCACAAGGAAAGGGTCTGAGGAAGCTGCCATCCAGATCTGGCAGATATTCGTTACTCAGGACTGCAGCTGGCAAAGAGGAAGGAGTTAAGAAGAGCTTCAAGAACAACAGGAAGACCTATTTTTCCTGTCTTGAGATATTTTAGTTTTTTTGTGTATATCCCCAGTGCATTTTCTTTAGGCATTTTCCTGTGAGCGTTTCCCCAAATGCAGTATCATGTAATCTTTCCCTAGTAGAAGGGGGTGGAGGACTGTAGGAGTCAGAGAAGTGGGCATTACTGCCCAGCACCTGCAACATGGGCCAGGTATTCAGGAATCTGGAGCTCTTTTAGTCTGTGTTGCTGGCCTTGCCTGTGAACCTGGAAAAACTGCTTTTCCCTGTAGAGTAGGGATCACGCAAAACTTAAATTGTTCTGCTAGCATGGAATGGAAACTCCTACATCCTTGAAAAGAATTTGCCCGTGAGTCTACTGTGGATCAAATTCATGCTTGGTGTTGCTCTAAAGTCAATAACTTGGCACCAGGAATGAACTTGTCTGAAGGATTTCTATTGGCCAAACTGTCTATATTTCCCATGAATTCCTAGAACATCGTTTCAATCAACTGATCTATAGTGTCAGAGCAGAGAGTGAGAATGCTCTGGATTTTAATTTAATATTAAGTGTTTACAAGCCACTGCGCCCTGGTGTTCTAATCAGAATTGTTAACATTGCCAGCTCCTAGAAGATAACATTGGATATCTGAAATCATTGTTCTAGCCAGAGGCTAACCTGGAAAGAAAGCTTGGCTCCCTGTAACAGCCTTTCTAATTAATCAGCTTTGTATATAAACTGCAAGCAGCTAATAGCCAAGTCCCACTGGAAACATGGTGTTGCTACAGTGGTGTGTGTTCATGTGAATTTTACAATAGTGTTTTGTTTTGGTATTTTTTTAATAGATTTATATAAATATACTCCTTAAAGCTGTTACTAAATACCAGGGTTGGGATGAGCTCATTTAAAGATGCGTGGGAGCTGCCTAGTCTCTGACAGCTTTGAGATACTGTTGTTTTTCTCGGGGTGGCCTTAGATTGTGGCATTATGTTGCTGGAGTGCCTCTTTTTCTACCTATGGGAGTTACTGGGGTACCCCTGGTACTCATGGCTGAGAGGCTGAGGTCAGGCACCTCCTGTACTAGCAGTGCTGGCATCTTAGGGGATTTCTGGCTCTCCCAATACCATATTACTACAGAGTATTTGAAAAAAGCAGCATCGGTTGTGAAAGAATTTATAAGTCACATGCATTAAAGAAACTCTTTCAAAGCCTGTTTCTTTAATGTGTGAATTCCTTGTAACTTTGTGCACATTTCCGGTCGCTAAAATGATGTATTCTTTTTTGGGTTTTTTGCCTTTTTAAAAAATAAATATCAATACTCACACTGCAAAACTTTAGTGTTCGTTGTATTATTAAGCAGCTGCCAATAAACTTCACCCTTTCCCTCTTCAGCCCATAGGAGGAAAATGGAATTAACTCTTTCAGGCAATACATACACATGTGGCTGCCCCATCCCTGGCAGTGTTCAAGGCCAGGTTGGACAGGGCTTGGAGCAACCTGGATTAGTGGAAGGGGGTTTGAACCAGATGATCTTTAAGGTCCCTTCCAATCCAAACCATTGTGTGATTCTATGTTCCATTTGTATTTTATTCCTTTCTCTTCTTGGCTTGGCTTTAGAGGCAGGTGGGAGGAGATGGGGTGCCTGTGCTCAGTATGAAGGTGTTTTGCCAGGTGTCTCTTTCTGAAAGGCAGAAGAACCAAGAGATCAGCAGTTGTCGCTTACCTTTTGTACTGTTTATTCTCTTACTACCCTCTCACTTAACACAGTTGTGAGTATGCAGTCCTACTCTTCATTCAGTGTACTGTCCAGCATCACCCAGCATATTTCAGTTGTCACTTTTATTAGCTGTGCCACACAACGAAAGGTATTACAGACCTGAACCAGGGCTCACAGAATTACACAAACAGCTTTCTTCTAGCCTGTGTCCTCTGTAAATAGTTATTATTGCTTTTTGGCTGATTTGTGTATCACTGTATTTTTCCTGTATTAATTGTACTCCCTTAAAATAACTCATAACTTCCCATATGGTGCCACACTGAACAATTTGGTGGTGTCTGGATGAATGTGGTTTCCTGCAATTCACCAGCGAGAAATCAGATGGCTTTTCATGAGAAAATTGGAAGTTTGATATGCTGTACCTGAAGTCAGCATGCTGCTTTACTACATCTTTATCTTGAAAGTTTATCCCTCAAAATTTGTGTGTGTAAGTCAAGTCTTGCATAGTACTGTGTTCAGCTAACATAGGTGCAGATCAACTAACAATTCCCGTTTCCCTTCAGGACTGTTAGTCCTTTTTCTAATCTTCCACCACATTACATCTTTAATAACTTGATCATATATTAAAATTCTTACTACAGACCTTAAGACTTTTTATTTGAGGTGTTTTTTTGTTTGGTTTGGTTTTATCTGTGTGTGTGGGTTGGTGTTTTTTTCCTTTGGCACATTACCTACCACGTTCCTTCTGTTTACATCTGGCATGCAGTAATTGCCTTTCTCTATACTTTTGCTTTACTTATGCCTCAATGGTATATGCTATTACCCGTATTAAAACTGCAATGAAATACCATACCAGTTTCAGCTTTTTTTTTTTGTGTGTGTGTCTTAACAATATCCCCCCCTGTGCAAAGCTTTGGCTTTTCTGTGATCTGTTGGAGAAGTGCCAAGCACTGCTGAGTAAATCCATTGCCATTTGGAAAGGAAACAGCATGCCATCATCAAATAGGAAACTGGAGAAGTTAACTTGACCTTCCAGAAGGGTCTGTCCCATCTGTGGCATGATTTGGGCAGCTTTTTGTTAACTATGTAAGGAAGGTGATGCAGAGAATAGTTTGATATGCACATTTCAAGGGATCTAAAAGTGTTATTAAAGTTTAGGGAGGAAAAGATGGAGTTAACTGCAGATGGCATTTTCCCTGGCAGCAGGCACCTTTACATTGCTGTAAGTTGGGGTTCTGTTTGTTTTCAACTTAGCTGCCTTGAGAGAGCTTCTGGGTGTTATTCACTTGGCAGGCCCATGCAAACTCCAAGTTATTTTTCCATCATACCCAAATTTCAAAGGCAATGAATCATCTTGTAGTTAATGCCTTGCTTTCAAGTCACTGGAGAGGTAAAACACATCTGGCCAAATATAATCATACGGGTGTTAGGTCAGATTAACTCCGGCTGTCAAGCTATTGAAATATATTTACTTTGTAGGAAGAAATAAATCTACAATTTAAACTATTCACGCTTGGCAGGGAGAGCAATTTGTCACTGGAACAAAATGCTGAAAGTTGTTACGGATTCTCTGTTGTGTGAAGTTTTCGGATTAAGACTGGCTGTCTTGCAACAAGGTCTCTCAGTTAAACCGCAAAGCCTACTCTTGAGAACAAGTCCCGCTGGAGGAAATTCCCAGACCTCTGTATTACAGGAGGTCAAACTGACAGGATTTGCCCCTTCTGACTTTAAAACCTATGAAATTTATAAGGACAAGTGGCCAAATATTCAGTTCCTTCTTTGCTGCAGGTGCTGTAATGCTGTGGCGTATCAGTTATGCCTGGCAAAACCTACGTTTGGTTCCCCATTCTCCTGTTGAGATGCATGACTCAGCAGGCTCTTCTGGGTCTGTTTCCTTTGTCTATCCATGAAATGGCAGCAGCAGTGCCCATTTCTTCCAGACCCTGCTCTGTTTCACCTTGTGGGAGCAAGGTGGCATCATGAATCAAAGGGCTGATGGTGTTGGGCACTAAGCTGTAGATGTGTAACAGCTGTAGCCTGTAACACAGGCTCCCTTTGTGCAGGAGTTCTATCTCAAAGGGATTTTCAGTCTCCATATGACAGTGTGGAGTGCTGGGGATGCAGGAGCTGATTGGCACATGGCTGACCACTTCCAGGCAGGTTCAATGGGGCTGTACGATGTGCCCAAAGGAGATCAGCACTGATCTATCAGATGTTTCCTTTCTTCCCTTCTCCCCATCACTTTCACCTTGGTTCATGACATCCTTTTCCATCAAAAAGAGCCACCAGGCAACTCTGAGAGAAGGGAACATGGCAAAGGTCATTATGAGAAACCCTGAAGCTGTTGCAAGAGATTTATCTAAGAACAGGCCAAAGAAGAGAAGGACAGGTTTTTGCCTGCCTTCCTAAGAAGAAGGTGAGGGATGGGGTCTATAGAGGAGCTACACTGGCAAAGACTGGGCCATGAAGGCTGTTGTATTCTTTGCTGCCTCCTGTAAGGCTTTGGTAGTTCTGCATGCTCAGGTCATGCTGTAATCCCAGCCCTCCTGTGCAGGCAGGGATTTTGTCCTTATCCAGTATCTTGAGGCAGAAAGAAGTCCTAGCCCACCACCCAATTCCAGCATGCCTGTGGTCCTGATGTGCCCAGGGCCTCTGAGTTTGTGGGCATTTGACTTTTGAGGAGCCTCTGTAGCCTTATTTCAGCTTTGGACACATGCCTTATTACACTACTTTGTTTATTATTTACTCTGTAAAGAATAACCAAGATCCACCCTGGCACTACAAGCTCCTTGTTGAGCAGAAGGTTCCTTCTCATTGCTCCCCATTCAAGAGAACAATGTCCCTCAAGAGATTTCTTTGGTGCAGAACCTGCACATGAGGAGCTCCAGGAAAATGTGTCTGCAACCCAGCTGCTGTCATGGGGCTTGTCACAGCTGCAAAATATTGATCTGGCTGGAGAAGTGAGCACAACCACCTTACTCCTGTGGGCTGGAAATTATTATACAGCTAAATGAGCTTATCAGATTAAAAGTATTTTTGTATCTAGCCATATAACGGTAACAAAAAAGCCACACTGGAAAAGGGAAGTTCAATACCATAAAGGTGTGAAAGCCACAGAGAGAAAGACTCAGTCATTTTAAGGGACAACATTTTTATTTGTGAAACAGCTGAAATATTCTGCCATCAGAGTTTTGTGGTGTGTATTTATCATTATCTGAGTGCAAAGGTGGGTTCAAACTGCAGTCAATAAAGTTTTCAAGATATTCTTTTATTTGCAGAACTGGGGTGACTATTTAAGGTTTCCCCCCAACCCTCAAATGACAGTCTAAAGAAAGAATGAAAAGCAGAGTATTGTTGCTAAACTGGGTGTTCAGCTTAAGGCCAAAAGTTTGGTTTTGATCTGTTCCTCCTGAAGTATCTAAAGAATTAAAAAGGATCAGCTCCCAGTCTCCATTAACCCATCTTGATATCAAATTGTCTTGCTTGCTGAAAGCATCATGTCTCTGCTAACATCAAAGCCCTCCCTGTGCAAGTGAAACAGCATGGGTTGCATGGATAGCTCAGAGTCTGCGTTCACATTTGGATAGATCTGTGCAGACATGCTACCAAAAGACATGTGAGCCAAGAGCTGCTGTTCTGCTGAATGAAACCCTTGATCCCATATTTACCATAGCTTCAGGCAGCCTTGCAATACCTGTGTCCCTTGAGTCTGGGGGTTTGTTTGTTTGTTTGTTTGTTTGGGTTCTTTTTTACAAGTGGTAGGCATTCAGAGGTGTCTGGTATTTTGTAAGTAAAACCAGCTGCACAGAGCAGGTATTGAATGAGGTATCCAGACACCCAAGGATATTTATGACGTGGAATTATGCAAATTATGACATCCAATATAAACAGCAGTTAATAAAAACTGTTCCACCAACATGAATGGGAAGACAGAGCCAAATTTGGATCATTTCCCTTACCAGGAAGGGTGCCCAGTGGTATGTTGACAATACCTGTGGGGAAGTGGAGAACATCACCAGATTTCTGCACCTGTGGAGGCCATGAGAGTGTGGCCGTATCCATTTAGATGTGCTTGCACATCCCACAGAGTGGGTGCCTGCGCTCACACAGCGTACCCTGGTAAACCTGGATGCAAGTGATGGGGGAGTCTGTTTTTGTGGGGTTTCCTCTAATTCCCCCATCATTCATTGATCACACAGGGAATTTCAGATGCCTTCTTAAAAGAGTCCTTCTTGCAGGGCACCCTGCCTTGGAGACCACCCCCTCAACATCCCCATTTCTACATGGGAGGAAGTGTCTGCCCTTCATCTGCTGAGTTTCTCCCCTCTCATGCTCAGCTTTTCCCCTTGGTGCTTGAGCTGCCTGTGCTTTCTGGCTGCAGCTTCATCTTGCCAACCTCCCCATCACTGTCTGTGGCTTTGGAGGATGCGTCCAGGACATAAAGTCTAATCCCCATCTCCTGCAGCCTGGTGTATCACAGTGGGCCACCGCTTCCAGGTCCTGGTGCTGAGGTGGAAAAGCCTAGGAGGTAAGACTAGCATGGTGTGATCTCTCCTTTGGGTGTACTTCCTCCAT